AATTAAAAAAATTAATAAATAAAAAAAAGTAAGAGCAAATTTTTATATAAATATAAATTATTTAAATAAAAAATTCATCTTTTAAATTGTACTGCTTAAAATGGCAAACGTTAAAAAAATGAAATTTTTTCATGAACAGATTGAGTTTTGAACGAAATAATGCACGGTGATTCCTAAATAAAATAATCTATTAAATCAACGTTGTTAAATCTCGAAATGATGCGCGGAGATCGAAAAACAGCAAAAGTCTCACTAAAAATTATCTTCCAAAAACGTAAAATCTCAAAGAAAAGAAGAGTCTTAAAAAAAACAATGCATTCTGTTCTATTAGCGGCGCTGATCCTGCTATTCACTTTGGAGGAAACTGTTTTTCACTTTGCTTCGTTGCGATGAAATATGCGCAACGAATTGTTCCAAGACGGATATTGTGCTCCACGAACTTGAACACAAGCATACGGAGTGCCTTGTATAGATACAGTACCTCTTATCTGAGCTGAATTAGCTACATTATCATAAGAAGCATAAAACTAATTAATATTTAAATTAAAAGTTGAAATTTTTAATAAAAATTAAAAATTAAATCAAAATTTATATAATTTAAATATTTGAAGAAAATTATTTAAAATAGGAAACTAATTCCCAGGAAATACAATCATAAATGGATTTGCATTGATTTAATCTATTCAAGTAAAAGTTAGAAATAAGAGCAATGAAATTAAAATAAAACAAAGAGGTGTTAAAAGTTAAAATTGTAGCTCCAATTCGATAGAAATTAAAAGCAATAAATGCTAAAGCATGAATGCGGTAGCTAGTGAAAAGAAATCAAAAGCGAACAACACACGCGAATTAAAATTGAGTCAGAGGGGTAGGAGTAAGGTTATAAACCTTCATCTATTTGGACTCAAATTAGAAACTAGTTAACATGTTTTATATACTACGGAATTAGTATATTTAATATTTGTAGTGTTAGTTTCGCCACAGTGTAAAACTTCTTTCATTTACCATTTTAAACAATTATTCTCATTTTAAAAACATAGATGGCACCACTACTGTAGTTTGTGTTTTCAACAAGCTTAGAAAAATCGTTTTTAAAATCTTTGAAAAATCGTTAAGAAAATCATTTTATTTTCTTTCACTTCCTCGAATTCTTCATATAAGGTTTTAATAATAATATTGTTTTAAAAAATCGCAGTTCGTTTCAGTCAGGAGTAGTACTTCCCGGGCAAACGATAACAGAATATGAAAAAGTTTCTGTCGAACCATTGGAGAACGATCTAATTGTTTCGTCAGGTCGTCATCCGAAATGATCGGCGTCGTGTCGTATGATGATAAAGCGCTCTAAAAGTATGAGAACTCAAAAATAGAACAGTAAAAAGAAGACTAAGTTCTTCGGCTTAGAAGAACTCCATTTAAATCGGGACTAAGTACAGTATATTAAGCTCAAAAATAATGTAGAGATTTTGTTCTCTAAAAGGAGAAAAATAATTCATAAATCTTATGAATACATTTATCAACAAAAAAAAATCAATTTAGCAAATTTTATTTTTATTATATCGATAATGAACTATAATAATCAAGATGATTTGGAGTGATCCCCCGAAGATAAATTGTTAGTAAAATAACCGAATTTTTATAGTTATCTTAAAAATTAATTTTTTTATTAGGTTAAAACGACAAAAAAAAAAAAAATTTTGATCAAGCGTTCCTCTTTTAACAATTTTTTTTTCAAATGGGAATTTTCTAAGAATTTTTGGAAATTATTCAAAATATTCTATGCCCTTCAACATTGCTAGTGATCTTATTGTACTTATTTTCTTTGTTTTTTTGTTTAAACACCTCAAATAATTTTAATTCCTTACACTAAATCTTTGTTTGAAATGTGTTGAATCCCCCCCCCCCTTGAAAGCTATGCAATCAGCATTAATTGCCGTAGTCATCAACTTTTCCAAACCGTCGTTGAGCAGCCGACCCAATTTTGAGATTATGACTACCTGTTCAATTTCGTAGCCAATGTTCAACTTCATAAATAGTAAGGTATCCAATTTTGACATCATTTTAAATATAATTTTACATCGTAAAACACAAAATCTGAAGGAAATGGTTCGAGAAAACGAGTTTTAAAGATACGAATTTATTAAAATTTGATTTCTCAGGAATTATTCGACCGATTTTGTCCACATTTTGAATTTTGCCATACAAAACTACATTAACTAAAACCGTTGTAAAGATTTTATACCTTTGTTCTAGTAATTCTTAGGAAAACGAGTTTTGGACATACGAATTTATTAAAATTTGATTTCTCAGGAATTATTCGACCGATTTTGTCCATTTTTTGTATTTTGCCATACAAAACTACATTAACTAAAATCATGTAAAAATTTTATACCTTTGTTCGAGTAATTCTTAAGGAAACGAGTTTTAAACATAGGAATTTATTGAAATTTGATTTCTCAGGAATTATTCGAACGATTTTGTCCACTTTTTGTATCTTGCCATACAAAACTACATTAACTAAAACCATGTAAAAAATTTACACCTTTCTAATTAAAATTCTTTCAGCTATAAATAAAGTAATAAAAAATAATTAATAATTATTACAAAATTATTTTTGCATAGAATTATCTTTGAGTAAACAAATTTCATAATTGTGAGCAGAAATTTTCAATTCGCTTAAAAAGTTCTCAAGATATAATGAATTACGCAAAAAGTAAAATTAGCATTATGCCAAATTAACATACAAAACTACATTAACTAAAACCATGTAAAACTTTTATACCTTTTTAATTAAAATTCCTTCAACTATTATTAAGTAAAGTAATGAAAAATAATTAATAATTATTAAAAATATTTTTTTTTTGTATAGAATTATCTTTGATTAAGCAAATTTTATAATTGTGTGCAGAAGTTTTCGATTCGCTTAAAAAGTTCTCNATAAAGTAATAAAAAATAATTAATAATTATTAAAAATTATTTTTGTATAGAATTATCTTTGAATAAACAAATTTTATAATTGTGTGCAGAAATTTTCAATTCACTTAAAAAGTTCTCAAGATATAATGAATTACGCAAAAAGTAAAATTAGCATTATGCCAAATTAACATACAAGACTACATTAACTAAAACCATGTAAAACTTTTATACCTTTTTAATTAAAATTCTTTAAACTATTATAAAGTAAAGTAATGAAAAATAATTAATAATTATTAAAAATTATTTTTTGTATAGAATTATCTTTGAATAAGCAAATTTTATAATTGTGTGCAGAAATTTTCAATTCGCTTATAAAGTTCTCAAGATATAATGAATTACGCAAAAAGTAAAATTAGCAATCTGCCAAATTAACATACAAAACTACATTAACTGAAACCGTGTAAAACTTTTACACCTTTTTAATTAAAATTCTTTCAACTATTATAAAGTAAAGTAATAAAAAATAATTAATAATTATTAAAAATTATTTTTTGAATAGAATTATCTTTGAATAAGCAAATTTTATAATTGTGTGCAGAAATTTTCGATTCGCTTAAAAAGTTCTCAAGATATAATGAATTACTAGATATAATGATCTAATGATCTCAGATATAGTGATAGATATAATAATGATAGATAGAATAATGATAGTTCTCAAGATATAATGATATAATGGAAGTAAAATTAACATTATGGGGTCCAAACTGTCGACCACTCTTCTTAGCCAACTACTGGGATCATATTTTCCGAATTGCAGCTACCCACAATATTTTATCCCCATTGTCAAAAGCGCAAAATATCTTGCTCTGGTCAAAAACAGTAAATTTAATTAGAAGATCATGTCAAAAAACAGATATCAACAAACCACAAGCAGTCTGCCACAATTTACAAATCCTTCTTCAGAACTCTAAAATGGAATTCAGACTCAAACGCTTATCCTTCATCTCAATGATCAGTCCCATTCTAACTCATGCATCTCCAGCTTGGTGTAACATCTCCACATAACTCCAAGGGAAACTCAAAAGATTCCAGAATAAAATACTCCGAAAAATAACACAAGCAAGATGGTTTATCCAAAATAAGAACATACATCGAGATCTCAACATAGATTTTTTAGATTATCATATTGCAAAGCTAAACTGCAAATTTTTTGAAAAGCCCACATATTTGTGACAACGGAGGATTTAAGGAAATTTTTACTTTTGAAAACTTGAGAGAAAACATTAACTTCAGCCTAATGGCACCTTATTTTTGTAGTCACGCAATTTTATTTAAAATACAAAATATTTAATTTTCTTTTCACTCCGATTTACATTCTAATGACAAGAAAGAGCCACCTTTAATATGAATTTTTAAATTGGATGGGAAAAAGGCACCCAGATAAATTCCGATGGCGATGATAATGACCCCCAATATTTTGAGATTAGAAAAAAAAAGTTTTTTTTAAAAAATTTTTTAGTGCGTTTTTGTGTCGGATTTCGAAACTTAAAATAACGCCTGTGCTAATTAATTAGCATATTTTTAGGGTTATTATGAAATATATCACGTGAAGCTCTCGAACCAATAAGATTGAGTCCTAGTACAAGAAAATCTTATTAATTAGATCATAAGTTATTCAGGGTTTTCCGCTTTATTTATTTTGTGTACTATACATGTAACTACCGATTTACTTTAAAAACGATCTAACAATTAATTCCTATAAGAACCAACTATAAATTTTAGAAATATTTAAATAAATTGATGATGGCAGCTGCGCACCTATAATAAATTCTTTTATGAAATAATTTATCACCAGTATTATAATTTTGAAAAAAAAAAGGACTTATCGTTCAAAAGAACTTCACAGAATTAAAAAAAAGAATAATAACTTTTAAAAACACGGCTTTCATAGAAAATCGTATAATCCATATTATTTAACATACAATTAATACGTAATTCGAAAATAAAACCAAAAATAAACTAAATCTGATTCAGTATGCCCTGATAATGATTAAATTTATCACTGTTGATTATCTAATGAATAGCTATCCAACGTGACAAGAAATATTGCTGACTGATAAAAAAAAACTATTCGAACCTTATTTCACTTTGGAAGCGATGATTAACAGGCATGGGGTTCGAACAAATTTGTAGAACTCAATTTTGGGTATGAACATATTTGTTTTTCAACTATATAAAAGCCTTTTTCTTTGTGGGATTCAGTTTCTTAATTTTATTGATATTTATTTTTATATTGTTTGAAAGTTTGAAATATTGTGTTTAAAAGCAGACTAAATTCATTTAAAGCTAATGTCTGAGAAAATGTCCACTTAATGCTATAATGTTACTTAAATGTTGTTTTTGTTAATGTTTATACATAATGGCCTTATTTTGAGTGAGCCTCATAATCAAAGTTTTTATGTACCATGGGGAGAACTTCTCGGAAAAGTTCTTCTGACATTGGCTAGTTAAACATTAAATAATATTTAAAACAAGAAACAATAAAGCAATTTAGCATTATTTTCTCTAATTCACTTTCACTTCTTTTACAGCTAAACTGAAAATATTCGTGTTTATATATATATTTACACATTTTCCCTTTATTTACTAATTCTAGTTATAATTCTTTGTAGTTGTAACGATAAAACAACTACAAACAAGAATTTTTTTAACTATGCAAACAGTTCTTTTATAGAAAAATTTTGTATGGACGTTTGTATGTTTATTTAAATTATTTAAATGTAAATATGGTCGTCTTTATCATTATATTTCAACTAAACAATATATATTAAAAAAATTACTTATATGAGTCTTATTACTTATATGTCGTATTACTATTATGTGTTTTATTACTTATATAAAAAAAATTTCCCTCCTCTGTTGGAACTTTCAAAGTTCAAAGTAATTATTTAAAAGTGAAATATAAGTGTGTTTTAAAAGACTTGTCTAAGGAAAGCAACAACACCCAAAGTTTTGTTTTATTATATTATTAGCATATCACTGTCTTTTTATGGATATGCACTCGTTTCCAGCCGGCAGTATTGTTCCTTTGTCTAAGTTAGTGAAAAAGTGTGAAAAGTTAGTGAAAAGTTAGTGAGTTTTTGGCGTTTTTCTGAAAATTGTGGTTAAACAACAACACATCAGTTACTTCTTTACTGAAAATTAAAGTTCACTATAAGAACAAGCTTTGTGACCCAGCAATTTAATGAGTTATTGATTTTTTTAGTAGATATAGGCATTCAAACTTTCAAAAAACTCGAAATCTACGTTTTTTTATTTCTCTAATTTCGAAACAGCATCATCGGTAAAAATAAAAAAAACTGTTCTGTCTAGTAGGTAAATATTACTACTAACTAGAAGAAAAATCAGTGAACCCTTTTCCTGATTTTATGAAAATAAATTTCGAAGTTGCATATAAATGCTATATTAGAAATCACATACACCGTTCGTCCACTCACCTTTTCAAATATGATTTAAATAATTCTCGCTAGCACGGTATGTAAATAGTTTTAAATATATAAAAGACGCACTACTCATTTGTTAATATATAAAGTGGTAGCCAAATTGAGAAAGAATTAAAAAATATATCTATTTTTAAAAAATATAAAATATTTTGCTGCCACCTTTATAGGAATTGCAAACGAAAGCAAGTATGCAAAATATTTCATAGAGTGCTAGAAAGTTAAAAAATAATCTTCTAGAATTTTCGGTAATTTTGCAAACACTTTGAAAGCCTCGTCCCAAGAAATCGGAAAAGAAAAGGGCTTTTGAATCATTTTTATTAAAATAGCTTTAAATCAAATTAATAAAACAAAGAATCTCAAGCATAAAATTAACTACCACTAGAAGAAATTTTCCCCTTTAACTGCAAAAAGACGACATCCCTAGATGGTCAAAGAAGAGACTAAAATTGACATACTGAAGTTCTGTTCAAAAAACAATAACTTTCCTTATCACATTGCTGACCGGTCACGAGTTAACTCGTGTTTTCGTGGCCAAACGTTGGTGACCGGTCACGAGTTAACTCGTGTTTTCGTTAACAGTGATCTCGTGGTGACTTTTTTAAAAGGTGGGCTGAATTTTCCTTATTTTTCAAGTTTTACTATTTAATTCTCTACCAATTTATTATAACTTTACGAAACCTGATATATTTGCAAAACTTGTGGTGTACCATTACACGTAGGTGATTAATATACTCTTTATCATACGGCATTAAAAACTAAAAAATTTTAAAGTTTATTTACATTGTTTTACTTCCACATCCGCTTTTAAAACAATAGCCGGGCACATGGGATATTTTTCAAGCAAGTTGCCGGTCAGCAATGTGTTAACACCAAAATATCTTAGTTAGAAGATAGATTGATTTGGTACACATATTAAACTATCTATACCAAACTAGAGTAAGAAAAAGATCTAGCGTAACTACTACTCTAATGTAACTAAGCACTCTACAATACACAATTGTATTATTTATGGAAGAAAAAATACTATGCTAAAATTTTCCCCCTGATGTTGGTGACGGGATGTTTCAATAAATTTTTAACTTTAAATGACAGATTCATATTGTTTTTCGTTAATTAAAATTGTAAAACAATGAAAAAATGCTTATAATAAAATAAGCATTGTTTTATAAGTACAGTCGTTCCCACTTACAAATCGAATAATTGATTCACCCTCTTATACGAATAAAATTAAATGGAACCAAATCATTTTATATGAAACTAACGTTAAACTTCCCCGTTCAAACAGATATTTATTGATTTCTGTCTCTGCCTAATTGCATAAAGAAGAGGTACTGAAATAAAATAAAAAAATTATTTTTGAGAAATGTTTCCCGTGCTAAAATGAAATTTCCGTTTTTCAGTTAAGATAAGGATACAATAGGTGGTCACTTTAACCGGTTAACGCCCAGCATCATATATTTAGGACAGTTCCTTTTTTCAAAGACATTCATTGTGGTGGGAAATTTTTATCAGCATTTTCATTTATCTGGGTGAATTAAAAGATTTTCATATACCACAATGATTTAGTTATTTCTGATTAGATCTAGAATTATAAGGAGCAAATACTTTTTGATCTATCCAAGACTTTTTGAATGACATAACAGTGGAAAAACTAATTAATTTCGATAATATATTAAACCACTTTTTGTATCATTTCCATATATAAATTCGGAACAAAACGGGTTAATAGGGAATTCCTGTTCATTAGTTGGTCTAAACAGGTGTTGAGGTAAAGTCTGAAATTTAATCAAATCTTGCTACCACTTATACCACTTATACGTAGAAGTAAAAGAAGGGGGTTTTGCCTCTCTGACTCATGAGTGAAAGCCCTTATATAGCAAGACGGAAAAGAGAAAAACCTGGTACGTAAAACATTTCATTCCAGCATTTTTTTCGAAAAAAATGAAATATCTGTAACTATCAAGATTTCTTTTATAATTCTGGCATAATTCTTCATATAAAACTGCTTCTTTTCCAAGATAAAGTAGATATTGTTGAAAAATTTAAAAAAAGAATAAGTAAACTCCTGCCCAAAACTAGCTATAACTGAAATGGTTTTACTACCAGCCTTTCCTCTTTTCCGTCTCGCTTTCACCCCTGCTCTGACTTACTTCATTCACACATCATTTAGAATGTAAAAAAAGGTACAGAGTGTTTTGTTTTGCAGTCAAGACTTGTAATCCCCTCCTGGGGCTCTATTAGCTTTGATAAGAAAAACTTTCAAAAACCTGGCACACTAGTATACAGTGCGTCTTTCTCTTAAATAGAATGATCACTGCTTAATCTAGTGAATAACTCTGAGTTGGTTGCAAGTTGAGCGCGAAAAGGAATAATTTGAATTAATCGTGAAAAAAAAAAACGAATCTTGGAAACAATAAATTTCAAAAAATTCCATGCTAAAATAGCTCATTACTTTGGAATTTCTTAAGTTTCAAGGAAAAGAAAAAAAGAGTAAAAACGAAAAAAAAAATTCTGAATGCATTTGAAAGAAATGCGCAAATCATGAACGAAACTGAACGGTTTCCCGTTCAGTTTCAATTCAATCTTCAGTTTCAATCTTCAATTATTGATATTTTTTGGAAGGGATCAAATAATATTTTAGTACCTATATTATACTTTTCACTAACATTGGTTTAATTTTATGTAACTTTGAATGACATTTATATTTTATGATGAGAACAATTATAGTTAATATGAGAACAATTATAGTTAAAACTGTCTATAGTTAAAACTAACTGTAATATATGAGAACAATTATAGTTAAAACTGTCTGAGTTAGTACTCAGACAGTTTTAACTATAATTGTTTATTGATCATAAAACTGAGTTTTTAATCAAAAAACTGTAAATACCATTAAATACCAATAAAAAGTAAAATTTCACAAAAACTTAGAATTTCAGATTGAATACTGCACCCCCTTTTAATCGAATTACTTGCTTAATTGCATTGATTTGGCTGTAGCCGATGATATTCCTTTAAACGGGGTTGAATGTAATATATTTAAAGTATCGAAAGTACAAGGTAATTTTTGTATATAACATCTTTTACTAGTTATAAATACATTGTATGGTGTATGACATACATGATGTAGCCATTCATCAATTATTTTTTATACATTTTTATCAAAGTTACGATGTATGCAATGGAATGATCAATATTGTTTGAAATGATGGAATGATAATCGAATAATCTATTTTTAGAATTCAAGTATTTCCTGGGACACAGAAGATCCAAGTGTCAGCAAATGTTTCCAAAATCTGATATTAGTTATAGCTTCTTGTGCTGTTCTTTGGGTTGTCGCTCCTTTTGAGTTTATAAAGATCTGCAAAACACGAATTAATCCATCCCCATGGACATGCCATTCAATAACCAAGATGGTAAGTATTTTCATGATTTTAAAAACTTATTTAAAATCCTAACATCTTGCTTTTTTAAATTCAATTTCTCAGGAGCTATTCAACCAATTTTGCTCAAACTTTGTATTTTATCATTTAAAATTATATTCTTTAAAATTATGCAAAAAATTGTACACCTTACATTTTAACATTTTTTGACCATTATTAAATAAAATACGAAAAATAATTAATATTTAGTAAAAGTTATTTTTTGTATGCAATTATCTTTGTGTAAACAAATTTTATAATTGTGTGTAAAAATCTTTCAATTCGCTTTAAATGCTCTTGAGATATAGCAAAATACACAAAAAGTCAAATTAACATTAAAAGGTCCAAACTTTAGACCGCTCTCCTGACCGAACTATCGGGACCATACTTTCTAGGTTGCTGCTACCCCGTCCTTATATCTTGGGGTCAAAAATCCGAATCCGTCAAAAAAAAAAGTNAAAAAAAAAAAAAAAAAAAAAAAAAAAAAAAAAAAAAAAAAAAAAAAAAATTATTCATAGAAAGTAAGTTTTTGAGTCTGATTTCGTAACTAAAAATATTGTTTGTACTTATTAATTAGCATATTTAAGGTCACCTCCTCGAACCATTAACCCCTTGGGGACGGGTGATTCAGAAAAGCATTCGTACAAAATCAGAATCAGGATGTAATTAAATAAAGAACGGTAACTTNCTACAGCCCACAGACTTGTTAGCCTCATCAGTGAACTTAAAGACTTGCTGAAGGACCAAGACGTACTGCATCTTCTCACAACTTTAATCCAGGGGAATTCCCCATACAACTGATGTACTACTGAATCAACTCATGCCTCACCTCATCATGGACTTATTATCTGATCCTAACTTAGAACTATGAACTGTATATGACCTCTGGACTAAATGCCAAAACAGTATAGATGAATCGGTTAGAAGCGCTTCGCGCTTAACACCGAGATTCCACTCATATCAATCAATCAATCAATCAATGAGGTTTTTAAAATGTTGGCAAAATTACCAAAAAATCTGATAGCTTTGGTTTTTAAATGTCTATCTCCGTATAAAATATTTTTTCAAAAGGCGTAGTAGTTGGCAGGGCCGCAACTTCTAAGCTTTCAGTAAACTGCAAGATCTGCCAAAATTTCCTCTGTGATGTTGAAGGTTTAAAACAAACAAAATTTTATTAATATTTCAACAAATTTTATTATACCTGATGCAGAAACATCGCAAGTTTTTACAAATTTTCGATATGTGTAACTTTAGTTATGCATAAGAGTGTATGTCTAAAGTCAAAATCTTGCCACACTTGCTGCAACATGTCATGGTAGTGAATACAGTTATGGTGATAATAATAATATCACAAAGAATTAGTTTAGAGCCTTTCAATCCCAGGACGGAATTTTGACGCCCCCTGTATTTTATACTGATAGAAAATTAAAATCTGAACTTTCAGAATTTTAATTAACTTTTCCCACATCTATCACAAGAGTGCTGGGACAAAGTGGTGTTTTGTAAAAGCTTTTAAATCATTCGCTAGTAGAGACGGGGTCAATAACTTTAAATGATATGCAATAAACTTAGATTCAAACAATATAACATAAGCTTTTTTACGACTAGAAACAAAAATCTTTCTCATAAAATAGAGAAAGTTGGGATCTTCGGGTCAACTTTAACTTCTGTATTAGCAATCTCTGCATACACTGTAAAAAAGGGATAATCAAATTTCATGAGACTTTCTCCGTTTTTGACGAAACCGTTTCCAGTTAAATGCTCCGAGAGAACCTTACATGAAAGTGACGAAATAACAATAGTCACTTTTTCGGGGAAACTTATTTCGTCAATAGTATTGAAATATGTCGTTATTCACTCAATTACCATATAGCTGGGTCAATGTCACCTTAATAACACGAGAAAGATAATTAACTATAGAATAAATAGCTGAGAGATAAATTACACGGCTTCTGCACTAGTTGGCTTAATTCTGCACTTTAATTCGGATCGTCTTGTCTCCATCTTAGTTTCGTCATTCTAATTAACAAACTCCAACAATGCTTTGAGGTTTCACGTTGAGGAAGCATTTTTGTCATATATTTAAGAGTTCCCGTTTCGTCTCAAATCACGTGATTTCGTGACGAGATAATTCTCAAGATTACCGAAATATAGCTCGAAGATTGCAGAATTGTCAAAAGTGAGAGTTTCATCAATGACAATGTAGAATGCAAAGAAATTAATGCACTACTGTGAGGTTTCAGGTTGAGGAAACATTTTCGTCATATATTTAACGGTTCCCGTTTCGTCACAAAGCACGTGATTTCGTTGCAAAAAATTATCAAGATTAACGAAATATAGCTCGAAGATTGCAGAATCGTCAAAACTAAGAGTTTTTTATCTGTGACAATGTAGAATGCAAAGAATTAAAATGCAAAATAATACTAATATTCTCTTTTAAATAGGTTCTAAAAGTGGCTCTTTTGCTAGTTTGCACTTTGGACTTCTCTATAGCTCTTTATTTGTATATAAATAACCCTGAAGGTGGATTAGATGGCATAATCAGAACTTCATCCTATTTCATTACCATAGTAAGAGAACTTTTTTTTACCATTTCTCTCTCAAATTCTTTACGATTTCGCACATTTATAGTTTTTCGTAAAAAATAATAAAGCATTTAGTTTAATTTTCTTCTTTTTCTCATTAATTTTCCTTTCGTTCAATCTGAAAGAAAAGAAGAATATTTATGAAATAATTAAAAATACCTACTTAAATTAATAACATAAACAATTTACTCTCCATGTTGAAATTGAGATAGATTTATGTGACTAAATAAATATTATTAGAAACATAGAACTTATATGTATTTTACACAAAAATATGCTTTATAATAAACTAATACTCCTTCGATCCCAAATTAATTACTGTATTTGAATACTTCTTTGCTGATTATTGATTGACTTCTATACTGATTATTAAAGATGATTTTACGATTTTGTTTGGAAATTTTTCGGAGATTTCATGGTGATTTGCTATCAATCATTATTCAATTATTCAATCATTTTTATCAATCAATCACATTTACTTATAAAGTGTTTCCTCCTTCCCTTCTTAAATCAGTACCTAAATTAGTTTCAAAAATCCAGGGCTAGTACTCTCTTAAGTGTGCCTTATTTTGTAAGTACTCTTCCACCTGTTATCACGTTAAACTACGTTCAAGCTAATGAATATGAAATTCATTCGTATTATAACTTTGCTAGTGTCGATCTATTAAATTGCACAGGAAGTTATTTCTGACTTCACCTACTGAAAAAAAAATTATTTCCCACCTGCGTTTACATTTCGTCAATTCAGGCATTTACAGGGCTGATATGCTTTTTTTTTTATTTCCCACTTGCGTTAACATTTCGTCAATTCAGGCATTTACAGGGCTGATTTGTTGGCCCCTCTTTCAGGGGCACCATATTAGGTGGCCCAATGTTGCTCCGTCTAGAAGTTTATGGCTAATTCTTTACAGTAAGTAAATTTTTAAAAATCTTAACCACCTTCCCACAAAAAATATCTTAATAATCAAACTAAATTGAGTTAATAAGCAAATTGAATTTCTTTTTATAAATCAATTTTAACTCGAAAAATATTTTTAAATAACGTAACTAGAATTAAAAGGCCATATAAAGGGCTTACAAAACATTATCTCTGCTTCATTCGGAAAAATATTTTCTGAACCTACGGATTTATTTGTAGATGAAGAGTATGTTTATGTAAGCTAAAACCAAAAACTATTATCATTAATTTCTCACCACTTTTTTCATGCTTTACATTTTTAGTCATTTTTATGATTTATCATTGCCTCTTGATAAGATTTTTATTTATAGCTCAAAAACTTATAAACATTGACAATTAAAATGTGAATGTCGCTTAGTTTAAAAATTATAGTTTATGAAATTGTTTTAAATTCCTATACAGGTGTTAACTGTTATTATTACCTTGATGTGTAAAAACAGAGGGATGCGAGTTTCTTTAGCTTTGCCTTCATTTTGGATGATTTCAACTATCACAACTCTAATAAGCATTTATAGTGATATACATGTCTTAGATTCCGTGAGTAACATTTTAATATCATTTATAAATTAATATTAGAACATAATATAATCTTAATTTTTTTAACGTTAATATTTAAATAAATTTTTTATTTAAAATAATTTTGATATAAAAAATCAATGACTTTCTAAATAAATTGTTAATGAAAGAAAAGTGGGAAGAGTGTTGCACAAAGCACAAATTAAGAAACGGATCAACTTGAATAACTTTTGATCTAATAATGAGATTTAGAACTCAATCTTAATGGTTTTAGGGGGTGACTTCAAATATGCTAATTAATTAAGGCTGGCCGATATTTTAAATTACGAAATCAGACACAAAAACATATTTTCTCTGAACAAGAGTTTATCCAAAGACAATTTCAAGCAAAAAACTACTTTTGTCAAATATTTATCATTTTTTTAATATTTTAATAGTCGGAAAAAAATGTTTAAATGTTAGGTAGGGAATTTTGTACATTATTTTAAATAATGTAATTTTGCACATGACGAAGTACAAACTTTGAGCAAAATCTGTTGAATAGTCGTATTTTAAAGAAGTTGTGTATTTGATTGAGCTCAAAATTTGTATTTTGGCATGTAAAATTAAATTTTTTAAAATGATGCATTGTATAACATACAATAAAATTTTTTTTGACCATTAGTAAATAAAATAATGAAAAATTATAAAAATTTACTAAAAAATACTTTTTGCAGGGAATTATCTTTCAATAAATAAATTGTATAATTGTGTGCAAAAAATTTTTGAACTGCCTAAGAATTTCTCGAGATAAAACGAAATAGGCAAAAAGTAAAGTTTACCTTAAGGTAGTGTTTTTTAAACTTATGACTTTTGTGTACCTTTTCTAAATTTTTTGTTACGCTGTGTACCACTAATAAAAAAATTATATATTTTTTGCTGTAAAAAAATTGCACTAAAGTTAAAAATCACAATTGGCTGTTGACACCACTAATTATTAACTGTTAACTCTGCAAAAAATAACCAATAGAAAAATACGTAATCGTAAATTTTCATGGCTAGCTTTGCTTTTAAATAAAAAATTTTGAAATTTTCGCGTGTTGCAAGATATTTCGCATAAGAACGCGTATCCCCGCTAAACTGTTCCCGTACCTCTGGGGGTACGCGTACCACACTTTGGGAAACACTGCCTTAAGGGATTTAAACTTTGGACCGCTCTCCTAATTATACTATCGGAACCATATTTCCCATATTGTGGCAACATCCTATATTTTAGGGATCAGAAATCCAAATTCGTCAAAAAAAGGTATGTTTATTCAGGGAAGTGCATATTTGTGTCTTGTTTTGTAACTTAAAATATCATCCGCACTAATTAATTAAGGTATTTGAAGTCATATCCACAAGCCATTAAGATGAGTCCTAAAATGCAAAGATCCAATAATTAGATCAAAAGTTATTCAAGGGGTCCGTTTACTTTTTTTACTTTTTAAGGTCCGTTTCGTTTGCAAGTTGACATCTCTGTAATTGTAATTTCTTTTAATAAAATTTCGAGTTTTATGAGTCAGTAATTTTTGTATTTTTAGTTGTCCGTAGCAGCCCTGCTGTAACAAAGTGTTGTATCACATAAATTATTTAGAAGTAGTGGTTAGTAAAAACCCTACAAATTGAATTTAGTAAACCAAAAAACATCCATTAAAAGTCTACCACTCGAAAATATTTATTTGCTGTCCGGAGCAAGTTCGCATCCCTGCTATTATCATTATATTGTATCAATACTAAGTGGTTAAATTCTGTAAAATTTTTAAAAGTGATGAAAATTTTTTTATAAAGTAGTCTTCTTAAAAAAATTTTATTTCACTATAATTTAAAGAGCTCCATTATTTCAGCCCTATTTATTTAAAAAAATATTTTTTGGTATGCATGGATAAACTAATACAATTTATTGCCATGCTCTTTTTTACCACTTTTTCAAATTTTCCAATCAGGGACCACCCTGTAAACAGGGCCAGGACAATTTGTATCTCGTAAAAAATAGATTTTTTTTCTCTTATTAAGGATACAAACAGCTCTAAAAATCATGAAAATTATCGCTGGAAAATGTATTTTTCATACATGAAAATTTTTAGGAGATCTGGACATCTGTGGTCAGCTTGGTCGATGATAGTTTATCATTCACTATTTCTCTAATCCAGTTAATTCTATCGACAATTCCTGATCGAGCAGCTCATCCACGTGCAGGAGAACATAGGGTAATTATTTATTTTTTCAGTTACACAAAGTATTACGAGGGCTGTTTTTTAAGTAAGGGTCGTTTCGTTGTGTACACTAATAGAGGACGAGTGCTTACGTCGTGTCTTGGCATTCCTTGGGAACAACTGTGCTAAGTTATAACTGTGAAGGTGACCTATATGGTCTGTTTTGTGTCTTTAAAATGCTCAAGTTTAACAAATTACCCGCCGCATATGAGGTACGATCAGGGATGCATTTTTAGTCGGCAAAAAACCTGTCTGATTCTTACATTCACCGGCAGATTTGTGAAAATTACAAACTTTCAACTGCCATGCTGACATGAAATTTTGCTACTCCATGACAATGACTCGCTCTACAGCTCTGTCCCGAGTCTTATTGGACTCTTTTCGCCGAGAAGCTTTTGATCACCCCCAATATAGCCCAGATCTTGAGCTAAGTGATTTTCATCTTTTCCAATGCTTCAAATATCTTTGTGGTGGCAACCAGTACAACGATGATGAAGAGGTGAAAACGGCCTCTTGGTTATCGGAGCGGGTGGCAAGTTACTATGAAGGGGGTATTCTAAATCTAGTTGTAAGGTATGATAAGTGTTAGAGCAAACTTGGCTACTATTTTGAAGGAAAAAAAAGGGAAACGTATGTAGAATCAGAAAATAAATTTGCTTCAGGAAAACTCTCTTTTGTTTGGTTTCTATTTTCAAACATCCGTTAATTAAAAAAACAGCCCTCGTAGTTTAATTGCGAAGAAAGTAAAAAAATGCGCTAATTTTATGATAGAAAATATGATAAGCTTTATAGATTAAGCTTCAATCTTGCAAACAATGGTTGAAAGTTTCCTAACATAATCCTTTGATACCGGTGTAATGCTATTTTTATTTATTTTTTTAATGCACTGCTCAAAACAATTAAAGAATATTATAAGTCTTGGATAAAATGCGGTATACGCAATTTTTTTTGTTGCATAAAATGGCAGAAGAGAGTCACAAGTGCAAATTTTTCTAATTTTCATACTTTGCAGTATGAAAATTGGCTTTCAACTTAAGACAAATCGGAAAAGAATGATTGGCTTTCAGTAAGCGCACTATTTCGGTGAGTGCGATGTCTCATCGAAGTCATTTAATCGAATCAGAAGCTTGGAGAGTTGTTGGCCGGTTAAAGGGGAGCCAAACGCAAGCCAATAAAGTAGTAGATGCCATTTGAGTTTCAGAAAGTGTGATTTCTAGGATCTGGAACCGTTTTTTTTTTGGAAACTGGAAATGCAGAACAAGGGCGTGGATGTGCAACATCACCCAAATGAAGACCTTTATTTAATGCTTACGACTCGGAGACACCGAAATATGAATGCCTCTCTTCAACAACACATTAGCTTGGCTACTGACATTACAGTTTCTTCACAAACTGTCCGAAACCCCCTTCACGCTGAAGGTCCGTATGCTCGTAGACCAATGGTGTGTGTTACGTTAATAGCAAGGCACCATCTCGCCTACAGGGAGTGGCAACAGAGCATGTGAACAGGTGGCAAAATGAATGGCACAATATTCTTTTCTCTGACGAGTCCCGATTTTCGATTCATCCTGATAATAGATGTATTTTCATCTGGAGGGAATGTGAAGGGTATTTTCATCTGGAGGGCGCTAGAAACAATCCTGCGTTCATGCACGAAAGGGTAAGATTTAACGGTGGGGGAGTGGTGGTGGTCTATGCTGGAATCTCCTTTGATGAGCGCATCGATCTCCATATCAATTGACACGGAGATAGGGATGAGATCCTGAAACCTATTGTAGTGCCTTACGCTGCAGCAATTGGAGATGACTTCATGTTAATGGATGATAATTGCAGGCCACATCATGCTAACTGAATGATTTCCTTTTGGTGAATGATTTTTGTCTGGAATAAGGAATCATACGAATGAATTTTCCAGCCTGTTCTCCGGACATGAACCCAATCGAGCGTGTTTGGGACATTCTAGGCAGGTGAATTTCCGAACGCCTACAACGTTTTGTCATTGCAAAACCAAGCTTTTGCTCATTGCAAAGTATGGTATATTGTTCTTTGAATTGAAGAATCATTATCCTCATCATAGTTGGCCAGACAACCCAATGTGGGCCAATGCCTTCCCGTAAGGATTTCTCCATAACGACTTCGTAATGGAGAAACGACGAAAGTTTTGAGTTCTCGTTCGAGTCTGAGTTTTGCTCACAAAATAGGGTAGCCACTACCAGGCAAAGTTGAAACAGTGATGGCTAATTTTTCATGAGGCTTTAAGGGATTCAATTATTATAATAAGGATATTATTATTACATTATTATTATCAGGATTCAATCCGCTTTAATAGATTCAATTTTATTTTAGCTACAGGTATTAAGTTGGCCAATTTCAACATATATTCTTTCATTTTGAAATATTTTTTTACTGGAAGAATTCAAACACAGGTAAAAAAATTGGTCTTTTTTTCACATTTTTTAAACCGTTACTGTGTTTGAGTTCGCAGATAAATGCACGCTTAAACTATCTCCATAACCCTTGGTAAGACATGAGCTAGTTAGCCTAACAAGAAATAATTTTTTCAATATGATTAATTCAATTGTAGGATAATTGTCCATTGGAAGGTTCACCTCTTCAGTCTCGTTTATCCTTCAGTTGGATCATAGGGTGAGTAAAATACTTTTTTAAAAATAAATTTCTTACTTTTTAGTGAAATTGATATAAAATTTGTACGCGTGAATCTTCACTATGGTCATTGAGAACTTCTTGAACTGTTAACTTAAGCGAAAGGGAAGCTACTAGATAATATTGTTTACAGATATCCTTAGGATTATCTACAGTTTTTCTATCTTGTAAACTATGCGAGATACTAGAAAAAAGCCAACTTCAAAGAAAATAAGCTTCTCATTGAGAATGCTTACAAGACAATCTTTTGACTAAACTAATAATTTTTATCATGTAAAAAATGTGAGATACAAAAAAGAAGTTGACCACTAAGCAAAAAGGCTTCTCAATAAAAATGCTTACTAGACAATCTTTTGACTAAACTAACAATTTTTATTTTGTTAACGTTGAGATACAAGAAAGAAGTCAACCACAAAGTAAAAGGAAAACTTTTCCATGAAACTATTCACAACATTGGGACTGAATTCAAATTTTCCATCTAATAAACAATGTGAGATACGCTGAGAAGCTTAAACAGCTTTAGGCGTAAACCAGCAACGTTTTGCAAAATAATTCTAAATGCGAGATTCTGAAACCGGAACGGAATATTAAAAACTTTTGGTGTATTTCTCCGCTTACGCTATGCTTTCGAGACAATGCGAGAGTAAGTTTAATACTTTTGGAAGTTTTATTATAGTGATTTATATTTAAATTTGCACTCAATATTAAAACTTGAAAGATTTTTTTAAATATTTTATACATAAAAAAATGTCGTGAGTCATTAATAGATTTAAGGAAATTAATATCACGACATAAATAAAATGTAATGGTTGCCGTATTTTGAGTGTTTATCCTCACTTTTTGTCTGACACCGAAATATCTAGGATTTGTCTTAGATCCAGAGATCCTAAGTAATAAACACATCGACCATCTTGTACTAAAGGCAAGGAAACGTCTTCATTTACTTAAGTATATATCAGGGAGAGACTGGGATGCTGATGCCTTGACCCTTAGGAGCACCTACAGCACACTTTTACGGCCTATTCTAGAATATGGATTCCCTATCTACAGTTGTGCTTCCCATACAAATTTGCAAAAACTAGAGAGAATCCAACTCAGCGCTGCGCGGATCATCACTGACCTCCGAAATTCATGTCCTGGTGATATTGTACTGTTTGAGGCTGACCTGCAACCTTTGAGCCTCCGAAGAAGGGCATGCATGGTAAAATATTACAGCAAACTCTATAGTTTTGGATCACAAAACAGGACTTCGGATTTACTAGCCAAGTGGCAACATAGTCAAAGACTCAAGCGAAACAGCTCTTTCAGCCAAGTTTTTTCGTCCAACATAACTTTTAGAAACGTGGAACAGCACTTCCTCAAACAGAGCATGGAAGGTCTTTCGGAGGTGTTTTTCCACACCGATCTCCCGGTGGCTGTCAACAAGCAAAATGATCACCCTGCAGATCTTAGACAAGCAGCACTTGAGAGAATCTATACTATCCCAACGGAGGCTGTTCAAATATATACGGATGGAGGCAAGGACGAAGACAATCACACCGGGAGTGGGATCTTCATCAAATCTCAGATGAGCGAAATTAAGATCCAGAAAAGGAATCCCGACCACTGTTCCGTTTTTAGGAGCGAGCTTATCGCCATCGATGATGGACTTGCCTCAATACTGTCTCTTTCATTTACGAAAGAGATTTGGATCCTTACCGACAGTAGAAGCGCTGTTCAGCACTTGGCTAGCTGGCACAGAGTGAGGGACAATACTAGCACGAATATCCTTTGTAAACTTTTACACCTCTCCAAATATTGTCGAATTCATGTACAATGGATACCCTCACACGTGGATATATCAGGCAATGAAATGACAGATAGTCTTGCCAAGGCAGGTGCAGCTGAGGCCACTGCGCCTCCAGTGTCTCTTACCTCCTCAGAGCTCTTCTCCATTGCTAAAGCCAAAAGTAAATCAGCATGGCTCACTCCACCCGGTCACAATTGGTACTAGGGTACCAGACCGGGTAGCTGTTTGACAGCTGACAAAGACCGTCCGTCTCAAACCGCCATCACACGTCTCCGCTGTGGACACCTGAAATCACTGAGGTACTCTGGAGGAGAAAAGTGCTTTGCCCTCTGTACCAAGTGCTCTTCGGCCCAGGCATCCCCTGAACATCTACTGGACTGCCTCGGTCTTTTAAAGCAAGACCTTATTGAAAGATCCTCACTTGTTTCAGACTTTGTGAAGGTGAACAATCTCATGGACCTTGTCTAGCTAGCATACCTGCCAACTCTTCCGGATTTTCCGGAAGATTTTATTTTCATATTTAAAGTGGTAGTAATTATGTACTATTTTTTTCCTTTATAAACTTAATTTTTAAATGATTATGATCGCCACTATTCTTACAAAAATTGAGCACATATATTAATATGCGTTACTATCATGGTTGTCAACTTAAGTTTTCTCAAATACAACGTATTTGTTTGCTTAAAATTGAAGTTTTAATTCCATTTTAATACTACTGGGAAAAATAATAATGGAAGAGATTAAAAGTTGGCAGGTATGAGCTAGGCTAGAAATGAGGATTTGAAAGAAGAAGAAGACTTTTTGTCTTCAGCTAAACTTAAATGAGTTTATAAATTAAAGTTTCTTTTCACAATGTAGACACTACAAGCACAATAACAGTTAGAATAGAGAATGGTGTGTTTTAAATTTAAAATATTTCGATAATTTAATTTCTGTGTAACCACCACTAAAAATTGTTTTATGCGATGCGTAAGAAAGTATTTATACGTGAGAATTCCTTCTAAACTATTTAACGACAAAGTGGGGTTGCTTTTAAAATGTTTCAAGCACTGTGATTGGATAACTAAAGAGGAATTAAAAATGAAATGAACAGCCTGCTCTAAACTATATTTGTTTTAAGTTGAAGATGTGCGGAATTGTGTTAGCATGAGGAAACGTTATTTTCAGAAGGGTTGGTGTAGTTATTTGTTTTGATAGTTATGATATGCGGCTTCGTAGGAAAAATATGCAGCTATTGGTCTCTAGTTTTTATCTTTGATATAGTTTTCAAATTTGAAGATTTCGCTAAAATTTGCTGTATTGCATTCTATGGCTTTATCGAAAAATTCTCCTGTATATGTGCTGCGATAGAGTTGGAATTTTGAGATCTGCATGGATATTAGTACTCCGAATGAACCGTTTGGTACAAGTTATTTCGCTAAGAATCTTGTTCTGGCATTGAGTTAGTTTTTTTATTAGATGTTGTGGTGTTGTTACATGAGGATCATTTACAAGAAGCGGTGGGAAAAATAACTTTAAATCAAATTTTTAACAGAAGGAATAATACATTAAAGCATAAACTTAGCTACCACTAAAAGAAACTTTTCCAAACAGCGTAAAAAATTAGATGCCTGTACAAGTATGTATCCTTAGTTAGAATTCACGATCTACGGCCTAAGTTGCTAATATGCTGCCTATCTATAGTTTTAATCTAAATTTGGTGCTCCAGGAAGGATAAAACAGGGTTCTCACGATTTTGAAAAAATAAATAAGTGGTAGTTAAGATTTTTCAAGACTTTTGAAAAATGCTTAAGTTTCGCTTGTATTTGAGAATTATAAAATTATTTCCGATGTATTTTTATGAACCTTTATATAATTTCTTTAAATTAAAATTTTTTTTATCGCTTAAAACATTTAGATCTATATCACTTTTGCCACCACTTTAAGAAATTTTCCAGACCGTGAAAAACCTGTTAAAAAAAATTCTCGTCCAGTATGCAGGCCTACCACTTACTACGCTTTTTGCAAAATAATTCATAGAGTGGTTGTTATTTAAAAGAAAAAGACTTGATAATTTTGCCAACAGTTTAAAAGCCTCACTCCAAAAAGAAAAGAAGAAAAAACTGGAATTATGTGACGTTGCGTATAAACTTTTTAAACATCTATGCCTAGTGATGTGGAAAATTAATTCAAATAAATGAAAAATAATACATTAAAACATTAACTTAGATACCACTAGAATAAATTTTTACTGAAAGCATTCAAAGTTGGCAGTCCTGCCCGTATATATAACCAGCTTTATTTTTGTCATGTATGTTTCTTAGTCTAATTTCAGGATAAATGAGAAAAGGGCCGTAAGGCCTCAGACTCCCAGTTCCATTACAACAAACGAGCGTATGTATAACTCTGCTAAAGAAATCATTAAAAAATATTCTTTTCATTGCCCTCACAAGATCTTTATAATGTTCGCAATATTTAAAAAAATTAATAAGGCTACCCTCCTATCATTAAAACTTTCAAGAAAACTTTTAGTTAAACCTAACATTTTCCATTTCGTTAAAAAAAAAAGTTATTTAGTAAATCTCAGTATAAAAATATGAACTCTATATATCTTCAAATATTTTACAGCCTTTTAAGAAAAAGCGAAGAAAACTCTTTACACCAAGATCATTTGATACCCTTATGTTCAGAACAGAAGAGTGCATCAGTTGCATCGCAGTTTAAGAAAATGGACAGCTCATACTCAAGGTACCAGCATTTTTGTTTTTTAAGAGTTTCAATATAAATATATCGAATTAAAAAATATTACATTTTAAGTGTTATATTTCTTTAAGAGCCATGTTGGCTTGGGAGATCGAGCGTTCGCATTCCAATGATGTGAACCAAGTTCAAATCACAGCGATAGGTGGTCCACATGAATTCCGCACCCAGCTCGCACCGACTACAGTGCTGACGTAAAATATCCTCAGTAGTAGACGGATCATGGATTAGAGTCCCCTTGTCACCAGACTAACCGTGGGAAGTTTTCGTGGTTTTCATCTCCATGCAACGCAAATGCGGGTTCATTCCATCAAAAACTCCTCCACGAAATCACATTTCTCCCAATACTTGATCCCGGAGTTACCTTGTCTTCTGGATTGGGTCCAAATAAACAAGGCTAAGGAGTTGAACATTAGCAGCCGTAAACGGAAAAAATTATGGGTCCCGCAGTGGACTGATCGTTAAGACACGGTTCCCAGCAGATTACCGAAGTCAAGCATCACTGGCTGCGCTCAGTGTGCGGGCGGGTGACCACTTGGATCAGTCTGCTTAGGGACCGAGGGTGTGCGGTATTGGTCCTCGTTAAACTGTTCTACCGTAAAGTGCTCGACTTCACGTGCAGTTCGTCGGGCTACCGAAGCGGGGGTGCAATCTCCTCTGCAGAGGATTAAAATTGTGATGGCATGTCTTCGGATTATCCTCAGGGATGCTTCCCAGACCGTCGCCAATAGCCTACTGTGCAGCCTAGTGCGACGTAAATGAACTACTACAACAACAACCAAAATTATGGGTTGGCTGTTATAAAATAAAATATAATAAAAATAAAACCTCAAAAGAGAGTCATATTTGAAAAACCTCGAAGTGGAGAAAAAGTGTACAATTCTTTCTTTCATATAAAAAGCCCATTTTATTTTACTACAAACAGAATGTTAATACATATTTTTATTACTAGTGTACTATTAACTGACAGAACTCTCTTGTTTCTGCAAAATATAGTTCTAATACTGAAACTGCGCTACTATTTTCTTCTGTTTTGAAAATTGTCCATTTTTAAAAACACTAGACACTAATCAGTTAATGAAAGGCAAATCAAACTACATTTAAAAATAAGCCATGTATGCATTTTTTTGCGTGTGTCATTCACAAACTGTTTCTTTAACACTTTCGTTCATATTGAAACATTCATTATTATTTTTTATTTCTTTTTTTTTTCAGCTTGCAAAGAACCCAATTTCAAGGAGAAAACATGAAACAACTCAATACAAAATCGTTATTTGGCCTCTTACTAAAAATGTCACAAAAACATATAATAATCGCATCAATTATGGAAGTGATTTTTATTATTACATATTATCTACCAGTATTTATATTGAGGTAATTTTTTTTCTTTTAAAAATTCGTATAATTTGTGAAACTATTTAATAATTGCATTTTTTTTTGTTTGAAAAAAGTGTCATTTTAGATGAAAATTCTAAGGAAAAGAAATGGCACAACTACGTATATTCCATAGGTCTTTTTCTTGCCATATTATTCTCTTCTCTCAGTAATTCTCAAAGAAAATATTTTGGACTTACAGGAGCATTGCGAATTAAAACTACTGTTGTAAATGCGGTCTTCGCAAAGGTATGGAAAAATTCATTTTCTTTAAAGATTTATTTTATATTAGTGTTATCCAGAAAATATTTAGTTACACAGTAAACTAAAGTTAAATTCATAATTCTGAATGAGCCTGAAAAACATAATATTTTACAGTTAATTGCGGATATGAATCAAAGTTTCTAAAACAAAACTAAAATAATTTTTTTTTCAAACTATACCTATAAAGTAGGTTTTTGTACCGTCATCTGGGGTTACTTTACTCACCGAAGTAACTTTACCCATTCTTTAAAAGAAAGATTGGGTGACAAATTCTGAATGGGCCTAAGGAACAAAATACATATTTCACTGTTAATTGTGGATATGAATCAAAGTTTCTAAAACAAGACTAAAAAAAATTTTTTTTCAAACTACAGTAAAACCTGTTTTTGTGAGGTGGATAGGGACCACATGAAGGAAATCGTACAAAAAAATATTCGAAAACTTTATAAAAACTTACGTATAATAAACAACTTTGTACGATATACTACCTTAAATTTTTTTTATGCGGTGGATAGGGACCGCATAAAAAAAGTCGGACTTAGAAGATACATCAATGATTTATGAAATAGATGAAAGAATGCTTTCAATTAAATTAAATAATTAATTAGACCTAAAGAAATTGTAAAAATATTTAATTCTTCATTGTACATATACATGGAGAAGTTTTCAAATTATACATTAAATAGTTTGCTGCTACTCGTCGTAATCCAAAACGCTCATCTTCCTGTGATGAATTGGTTGAAAATCGCTTTCGTCGCTTGAAGATAAGATTTGAATTGATTTGTTTTTGGTACCATAAAGTCAGTGATCAGTTTTTGTGACGACGGTCGACTGATCAAGGAGACCACGTAATCAGAGTTCGTCCACAACATTTATATGTACATTGATAGAAAACATTAAACTGGTGCTAACGCCGCTAAGATTCGTATACTGCATACAAATAAATCGCACAAAAAAATCGCACAAAAAAATCGCACAAAAAAATCGCACAAAAATAAAATCGCACAAAACCAATCGCACAAAAACAAAATCGCATAAAAAAGGACCGCACAAAAACAGGTTTTACTGTATGCGCATTAAGTAGATTTTTGTACAGTCATCTGGGGTTACTTTGCTCACCGGGGTAACTTTACCCATTCTTTAAAAGAAAGATTGGGTGACAAATTCTTCACTCTGAATGCACCTAAGGAGCGAAATACAAATTTAACTGTTAATTACGGATATGAAACTAAAATTCTAGAACAAAACTAAAATATTTTTTTTTCAAACTTTACGCATTAAGTAGGTTTCTTGCACCTTCGTCTGGAGTAATTTTGCCCTCCGAGGTAACTTTACCCATTCTCTAAACGAAACTTTTGGTAACAAAGAAAAGTTACTTTAAGGGTTCAGTTAATAAAGACTGTTATTTGTATTGTTGACAAGATTGAGGAGAAAATATTTGCCTTTAGTAAAAGTTTATCGGTCTCAAAATAATTATTTGGTATAATGATTGTATAGCGAACCATGGTGACTTAGGGGATTGGGAGCCCGTCTCCCATTGCGGTAAACCGGGTTCGAATCCCAGCTATGACTGCTGGATTCGAATTCCGCACCCGGCTTGCACTAACCTAAAATATCCTCATTGGGTAAGGAACCTTTGCGTGAGGCTAACCATGGGAGGTTTTCGCTGTTTTCCTCTCCATGTAACGCAAATGTGGGTTAGTTCCATCTTGAAGTATTTTGACGAAACAAGGCATTTAACGCAGAATATTAATGACAATTGATATTCTTAAATATGATGCGAAATTTTTTTTCTTGTGATCTGATTTAAAAAAAAGATTTAGATAACCATGAGGTGCAGGGATGGCAATTGTTCCGCTTTTTGAAAAGTTTTGAATAAATTGGTAGCAAATTAAATAGTGAAACTTGTAGAATAAGGATATTTACGCATACTCTTTAATAGAGTAACCAAGAGATAACTGCTGAAAGTTGCATTTTATATGGCATTTTTAATGTCCAGTGGTAGCCGACCGGCCTGTGTAGGTATTAGGGAACTGCCCTTGCATCAGAAAGGTTCTGGGTTCGAATCTCGGACAAGGCATGGATGTACTTTCCTGTGTGTACTATCTGTCCTTACTATGGGAGTAACGTTGGCTCACCTTATATGGTGCCTCTGGAAGAGTGGTCAACAAATCTGCCCTTCAGATGCCTGTATGACGTAGGTCCTTCTCCAGGTGGGTATTGGAAAAAAAAAAGTTCAGTGGTGGAAAAATGACTTGAAATGAAAAATACTGAACTAAAAATTACTTAAATTTCGGTACCACCAGAATTTTTTTCCCTTCAAAGTGGAGCAAGTTGGTAGCGGCTGAATATGCTGATCAATTAAAATACTTCCACAACTTCAACCAAAAATGTGCAATATACCAGTACCAATAGTTAAAAAAGCAAATTATCTTGGCCTTATAATCAATAGCAAACTCACCTGGAATGATCATATCAAAAGTACAATAGGCGAAGCAAATGCAGCAATAATAGCCATACAACCATTAATATATAACCAGAATATGTCACTTAAACTAAAGAAGCTACTGTATACAGCAATAATCCGCCCAATACTTATCTATGCCTCACCTGCCTGGACAACGATACCTCAACATCTACTGAAGAAATTAAACTAATGTCAATACAAGATCCTTAGAAAAATAACCTGTACAAGATGGTTCATCCGGAATACCAATATACATGCAGACCTCAAAATACCAACTCTATCACAGCATATATACAACGCAGATTTTTTCGATAAAGCCATAGAATGTATAACAGCAAATTTTAATGAAATCTTTAAATTTGAAAATTATATCAAAGATAAAAACTACAGACCAATAGCTGCGCATTTCACCTCCGACGCCTCATATCATAACTATCAAAACAAATAATTTCATCAACCTTTCTGAAAATAACGTTTCCTCATGCTGAAACAATTCTGAACAACTCCAAAATCAAACAAACACAGTTTAGAGCAATCTACTCATTTTATTTCTTGATTCCTTTTAGTTATTCAAGCAAAGGGCTTGAAACATTCATAAAAGCAACTCCACTGCCTGCTTACCTCAATGCTCAGCCAAAACAGTGTTAAAATTCCAGATTAATGGGATAGGGGTCGCTTCACGGCCCAGGAGCCCAATAAAATAAAACACTAGGACTAGGCATCTGCTGGTCTGAGTTTCAGGAAAAAACATTTGCTTAACGTTTAATTCACTACTACTAAAAATACTAAAGAGTATTAAGAACTTCCGAATTGACATCTCTAAAATTAATACTGGGAAAAAAAGATTTATCAACTGCATAAAATTTATAAATGAATCTTGGATACTTTTGCGCCACTGATTTCAATGCTGCAATTGGTTTCGCTCTGAAAGTTGCAATTTTAAAGCAGTTTAATAATGTAGTCCTAAACAGGATTTTTTTAAATTCACCCGAGTGAATACTAAGTGTCCTCACTTCTCTGTTACGCAAGGCGTGCTACGAAGAAGGCAATAATACATAACACTTTATGATATGATGCGTTAAAGTCAGGTTTCTTCTCTTTAGTGTTATTTTCAAAGGAGCTGACAAGTATATATATATGCATGTGTATGTATATATGTATATAT